TGATATTGCTTACAGGTAGAATCTTAAATTTGTAAAATTGAGGAGTAGAACTGTGGTTACTAGAGCCTGGGGATGGGGCTAGCATTCCTAGCATCTAATTTTGACTTGTGGGGATTTTGTTTTCCCAAAAATCTTTGAAAGACACATTTTGGTAATGAGAAAAGGTGGAAGAAGTTAAGTAGGCTAGGGTCAGATTGTGAAGCTACTAATCAGTAATCCCAAGATATATGAACGAAACCACTTATAGGCATTGGAGAAAACCAATTTGTTTTTTATGGAAGATGCAATATTGATTTTATCTGCATTTCAGATCACTCTTGACAGCTGTGTGGAGGATAAATGTACAGGATAGCCTTTGAACCAAGACAGTTAGGAAGTTATTGTGATAATCCAGATGAAATACAAGTTAGGGTTGTTTCCTTTTATTGGCTGCCTCAGTGAAAATGTAAGCTCTGTGAAGGCAGTTTTTTGATTTGTTCACTGCTATATCCCCAGATCTCAAAACCATGCCTGACTTATACAGAACTATCTCCTCTTATTGTTCTTCACTTTGTTACTTTTTGCAGATAATGCATTTTTAAAAATTGAAGGTTTGTGGTAATCTTGGATCAAGTGAGTCCACTGGCAGCAGATTTTCAACAGTATGTGCTTACATTGTGTCTCTGTGTGACATTTAATTAAGCGATGCACATTTTTTTTGAGACATAACACTATTACATACTTGAGACTATAGTGTAGTGTGAGCATACCTTTTATATGCACTGAGAAATGCAAAAAAATTGTGTGACTCACTTTATCATGATATTCACTTTATTGTGTTGATCTGGAACTGAACCTGCTGTATCTCTCAGGTGTGCCTACAGTTCAGTAAACATTCATTGAAGAGATGAATAAACAAATCAGTGACAGAATAACTCAATGAGTAAGTTAATTAAATGAAGCAATGCAAAGGCAGAGAAGAGGTTAGAAAGAGACAGTTACCTCAGAGGTAGAATTTTCTTTTTTTCCTCTGACACATAACATAGCTGAGTCCTTTTCAAGTGTTGGCAGCAGATGAAGTTTGTTGGAAAACCTCCCAGATTCTCCCATCTGTGCTCTATCCAGCCTCCGTGGCATCTGTTTCTCGGTGTCCACCATCTTCCCACCATCTAGAACAGAGGTTGGCAAACAACAGCTCCTGTATTAAATTCATCCTGCCACCTGTTTTGTAGGACTCAAGAGCAAAGAATAGTTTTTAACATTGTTACTTGGTTGGGGGAAGGAGCAAAAGAATATTTTATAACACATGAAAATAGTTGAAATTACAATTTCAATGTCCCTAAATAAAGTTTTATTGGAAGTAAGTCATGTTCATTAGTTTAATTATTGTCTTTGGCTTCGTTTGCCCTACAAAGCACAAGGCAACAGAGTCAAGCAATTGAAAAGGAGACTATGACTGGTGGAGCCAAAAATATTTACTCTCTGGTCCTTTACAAAAAGTTTTCCAATCCTTAATCTGGAAAAGTTCTTAGGAAAGAATTGAATTTTATTCACAATAAGGAATAAACTCTTCATCAATGAAAGCTCCTAAAATATATTTTTAGCGTAATGTGTAAGACAAAGCTAAAATGAACAAACAAAAAATAAAATAGGAAAAGACTTTTGTTAATGATAGAATGATCGTCACTTTTCAAAATTATTCCAGTTTACTTTTTTTTTTTAAGGTTTTTTTTTTTTTTTTTTTTTTAATACAAGCACTGGGTACAGTCAGAAGCACAAGAGAGTGAGAGAATTCACCAGAGCCAGAGCGGGGAGCAGAACAGGCGGGGAGCAGAACACGCAGACCGACGAAGTACACTGCTGAGGGGAGCAGCGGGCGGCAGGAGAGGTCTGCGCGCCATGTGGGACCCTCCTCCGGTGGCCGGAGAGCAGCCGGGGATCGAACCGGCACTGCAGAGGCTGCGGGCAGCTTCGCAACCCAGCGCTCAGCCGCTGCGCCACTGCCCTATGCCAGTTTACTTTCATGAAAGGCTTACATTAATACCTTCTCTTGCTAGCTTATGTAAATCAAAGTTACTTCAGTTAAACACATACACAATTTCTTAAATATAACTTTAGAGGTTCAGACACAATTGAGCAAGTAAAGCTGGGCACAAGTGCAGGGGAGAGAGGAAGTAAGATCTACTACTGCCCTGGAAATCATTTTTCCAGGGCAGGAAGATGGAGAATTGTGGTACACGGAGGAAGGATAAGGAAAGATCTAAAAACTTACCATTGGATGAAGGGAAGCTAGACACACCACAAGGAATGCAGCACAGTAATTGAAAAGAGATGATAATTCTTAAAGGAAAAGCAGAGACCAAAGACTGGACACAAATGGAAGCTTTACTTTTGAGCAGGGAATGTGAGCCTGCACAGGCTCTATGTTCTGGAGGGCAAGGTTTGGGAGAGGGATAATAATAAAATCAAAGACCCAGGGAACTGTTTCATTAAGGAAGTTACATTCGTGTGTGTTGCTGTTGGCTCTGACCAACAGTGATATGTGAGCATTTTGGTTAAACACTTAGTTATATGTCAGAGCTCTGCTGCTGAGGGGCCCACCTCCAGCAATGGCTTCCAGCAGCTTCACTGGCAGGTGCCTGCTCAGCTGTGTGGCCAGAGAGGATCTTCCCAGCACTCCCCAGTGCCACATACATTGCGCCACAATATTTCTAAATTTCTAGAAGTACCTAAAGCACCAATGAGGAATCAAGAGTTCAGAAAAGCTCAGGGACGTGACTGAAGCCCCAGAGAACCTTGATCAGGCACCATCCACGCTCCCACCCCACTCTCGGCTCACAGAGCACATGCACTTTCCACTACACAGGCTAAAACTAAGTGCTTTCAACTCAGCTGTCAAATAATGCCTCTTCGTAAAAGTGTATTGCAGTCCACAGAGTGACTAAGGAGCTCGATATAGACATACCTGCCCTCACATCTGGGTGGTGACGTGGCAAAATTTTAACAATAATGGAAACATCACACAGAGAAGCAATTCTCTCCAAATCTGTCCACATCTGTTGGATGCATGTACATGACCCAGTGGGGAAAAAGATCCATGTTTGAGTAAGTTTGGGAAATGCTGGGTTCCATAATCGTGTGCAGGTTTATTTATAATATACCACCTCAGAATGTTTAGTATCATTTGCTTTGAATATTTAACAGGCAAATGTAGCCAGCCAGCAGTGCATCCTGTCTCACTATGGAGTAACCCCCACTACACACACACACACACACACACACACACACACACACACACACACACACACACACACACACACCCCCTTCATGGTGCTCTCCTGGGAGCTGCATTTCATGAAACATTTGGGAACACAATGGCCCACGCAGTTACTGAAACTCCAGCAAGGTGAACATAATTCTTCTAATTTCATCTTAGCTGGAGGAGATTGTAAAAAAGTTCCTTACAACTGAGACCTCAGCACCTGTTAGACTGAGAGTGAAAACCTTTTTTTACACTCTGGTCATTCTACACTTTACGAAAGCCAGCCTAGCTCAGTGACAACCTGACGTGAATAAAATTGAAGCTACAATATAGTCATCAAGAAAAATTAGCCACAGCGACTATCCAGTGTCTCGTGGAGAGTCGGCGTGATGAGGAAGCTGTGAAAACATCTGCCAGAATCCTGTGTGTGAAGGGCAATTTCTGTCATTTTCTCCTTCCCGGGAAAGCTTAAATGACTTTTCGAAGCACACACAGGTGGCCACATTGACCATTTTATCACAGACCTGGTTTAAATCTTATACCACCTTGGGCTCTTGGCAAATACTGAGGTCCATGACCCAAGAGCAAAATTGAAGGAGCTCCACAGTTGGGGGACCCCGGGGACTCCGTGACCCTGTGCCGCTCTGACTCCAAGGTCTGTGATCTACTTTTGGTAACAGGAAAGATGTTCTTTCCTTGTATCCCCAGCTGCCCAAAATGATCCTGCAGCCCCTTTGGCTCCAGGGCTTCTGAAACTCCTCCTGGGTCACGCTCCATTGTCTATTTCCAATCAGCACCATTCTCTCGGGTGTTCCTCACCTCAGCTTTCAACACCATGTTTCACTGATCATTTCCCAGACCTCTTCCTCTTACTAGTTTCATCTGCTTTCACAATTCCTTGTTTATCCTTGTCATTTTTTTTAAAGATTTTTTTATTAATGCATACAAGAACTCGTATGTAAGCCAGAGGTGCAGGAGGTGAGACGATTCACCAGAGAGAGTGGGGAGCAGAACAGGCAGATCCATTGAAATACACTGCTGAGGGGAGCAGCAGGCAAGGCAGGAGAGGTCTGCTGTGCCATGTGGGTTGCTCCCTGGCCGGGCTGGGGATGGAACTCGTGCTGCAGTGGCTGGTGATAGCTTGATAGCGCTGTCTTTAACCCCTGTGCCACCAGGGAGGCCCTTCCTTGTCTTACATTTGCAATAGCAAATATTTATTAAATAACCCTGCCCTTGGCCACACCTGTAATGAGCTGTCCTCTTCAGATAGTCTTCTCCATTTTCCAATCGCTTCTGACACATTTGGGAGTTTTCAAATTCTCATTTCAGAATTTACTCTTCTAGATCAAACACTCCAGTGTCTGAGGACCTTTCTGCAAATATGGCAAGAATGAGGGTTTTTTATTCTACGAAACACATCTAGGTTGGTTATAAAGGAAGCAGTGAATTGGAGCAATGAAGAGCTGGCCTGTGAGATGTCCTAAAAGAGAATAAAAATCTTGTTGGCTGTGTCTCCAGACAAGTAACCAGCCTTTCAGTGTCTCATTTCCCCCATTTTTAAACTGGGAAAATTAACACTACTCATCTCACTTCGTTATTTAAGGATTCATTGAATTCACATTTTTTAAAGACTTAAAACAATACATGGACCATAGGAAATGCCATATAGGCATTTGTTATGATTTCCACATAAAAGCATCTTCATGTGTGGAGATGTATAAAGCGTTTTTTTTTGTTTGTTTCATTTTGTCTTTTTAAGGCCCAGATTATATAAAGGATCATCTACCTAAAGTTCATCAGCACACTTGCTACATAGGAGAAAAGCGTCCGGCATTAGAAAAAACTGGAGATCTCAGATATTTATTGCGGCCTGCCTCCAACAGAAGTTTGCCGGCAAAATATAAACATGAGTATGTTGGTGAAATTGGTTGGGGAATCCCAATGTTTGATTTTATCAACAAAACAAGGCGTGAGAGTGGCTTTCACATCAAGGTATTGCTCTTAAATGTATGCTCTTGAATTCTTTGAGTTTACTTCCATGGGAAACAACACGTACTTGATTTTGAGCTGTAATTGACAAATAACGGGATCTATGGTTTTCAGAAAGAGAAATGTGTGAATAAATGTACTGGCTATCATCATTCCCTTTTAGTGCCTTGAATACATGAGCGGAGGGGTGTGAAGAAAATGAAGTCACAGGTAATCCAAAGGCATTTGTGTTTGGCTTTGGAAAGCATTCAGATTCACATTTATGCTGAGACGTTCTCACTCACTTCCCCAGCTGGCCCTGCTTGCTGAGTAGGTGGTGTAAACCAAGAAGCCTGGGCTGGACACAATCACAAAGCTAAAAAAAAATGTCCTGGATCTTTAAAGTCCATTGTGTTGATAATGCTTTTGAATTAGGTAATCCCCTACGCAGTCAGAGGATTCTTTCAAATCTTGTCCTACTTTTTTTTGGTGATGAGGCTGCAGGTATGAGCTCACAGAGTCGCCTCTTAAACAGAAGGGAGTGCAGGTAATTTTAGAACTGAAATCTGAAAATTCTTTTTTTCCTCCAGGAGGTTCCTGTGATATCTAAAAATTAACCATGTATCAATTATGCAATCAGTAGTTTTCCTCAAATTCTGAGGCAATGTAGTACAGCTTCCTAAGGTAGTTAACAAAGGAAAAAAGAAAAACCATTTTCTGGTCCAAACTGGGATAACACAGGAAAGTGGTTGGTTCAGGCTTTGAAATCAGATCATCTGGGTTCAAATCCTGGCTCTGAATTAGGTCTAGCTCTGTGACATCAGGCTGGTGAGTTCACCTCTCTGCACTTCTGCCCAACCTCCTTCACAGACCAGCGATTACAATGCCCACTACTACAAGTCGCCTGAATTCCTGTCCTAGTTCTCTCACCTACTACCTGTGAGTGGTCTTGGACAAGTAGCTCCAACTCTATCTTTCAGTTTCGTGAATTATGAATCTTAGTATTTTCCTTATCAGGCTGTTGTAAACATCAAACATGCTAATATTTATAAAGTGCTGGGAACAGGACCTGGCATGTATCAAGCACTCTATGTGTTTAACATTATTATTATTATGTAGTGAGGATCAAATGTGGGAACACAGGAAGCATGAAGCCTGGCACATGGCTGACTTCCAAATGTCAGCTACCAGTGTTCTGGCTGTAGTAGCTGCTGTTACTTCTTAGTCGATCACTGTGGTAGCTGGTGTTGACTCTGTCAGCTAAGCAGACTGAATGTACAAGTTCTCAAACTGCTTCCCAGTCCTCTTAGGCAATAAAGATGAAGATCAGGAATTTAATATAATAATTGTCACCAGCAGGAAGAGTACCCAAAAACGAGGCAGCTGGTTGAAACAGAGTCCAGAACTTTTGTTGCCTTGTAGCTTGTCTTGGGGGGGTGCCCTGCTTTTGTACACAGCCTTCAATCTGTCTGCCCATTTTGAGTGTCTGCAGCTCTCTATCTTCATCTTTCTCTTAATATTTTTTTTCTGCTCAAATGAAGTTCAGTCCAGCAGTCTTTGGCCTTTGGAACAGGGAATCCAAGATATGTCAGCCACAAGTTAGCCCTCTAGAAAAGTGTTTATTCCATTTCTTTTGTTCATATTGACCCCAGTAGGACTGAATGTGAACTCTACAACCTGTGAAACATTCAGAAGCTGTTCTTGTTGGGCACATGCTGGAAGGGACACTGATTCTCATTTTGACAGTAGTTGTCCTAAGGATCAAGCTGTCTCAGATAATCTTAAACTATACCCTAAAGGAGTCCTTGGGTTTAGAACTTTGTAATGAGACCAAAAGATTCACCAAGAATGATTACACGCATTAGTAATAAACCAAATAAGTTTACCCATGAGTTAAGACCTCAGTTTTGTTGTTGAGGCTGCTGCTCTTCCTTCCACACCAGCGACGGTTCTCTCTCCACAGCCAAGACAAGAGGAGATATTTGTTTTTGAGTCTAGCCTCAGACTTGAATTCCTTAACAATCCCTGCTTGAGGCAGCTACTAGTGACCAATCAGACTTGACTGAATTGACACTTGAGCTGACTTACACATGCACTCTGTGCATTAAAACAAGCTCTTTCTACAAGAAGAGGTATTTCCTCATCCCTCTCCAGACTGAGGAACTGGTGAATTCCTTAGTGTGGCATAATTTAGGGAAATATCCCAATCCACATCCTCTTCTTTCTCTGGTTCCTTGTCTTTAGTGAAGCTCTTCCACACCCATCTTCCTTACTTGTCTAAAATAGTCCAAAACAAGATGGCACTTCTTCTCAGTCAAACTTGAGCAACTCTTCTGTGTCTCTCAGGCTGATTTTTAAGCCTAAACTTTCATGTACTAGATTGTGAGTCTGAACAGCTGCTCTTCCTACTTTATTGCTCCAGGTCTGTATAAGATGGCAGGAAAGGAAGCTCAGGTACCACCAACAGAACCTTGGTAAAATAGCTGGGCTACTGTTTTTCACCTGGGAATGGTCTCCCCAACCTGGGCACTAGGAAGGCCTCAACAGATAATCTGGATTTTGGCAGAAAGATAACTTTCAGGCTGATTGACAGCTGAAAAAATCTCCCCACATCCCAGAGATCAGTAAAAATCATAATATCAGATAGCTCTTCTGGGTTTTTGATATTTAACTATTTCCTACTCACCTTCATATGGAGCATGATGCCATAAATTATATTTGTATATAAACCACTAAAGATCATTACTTTTGTTTTTATCTCAGATTTAAGGCACTACATGTTTTAAGTGGATTTGCCAAATTATATGTATTTTATAAACTATATGGAAATCATTGAAATAATTCTTGGGTTTGTCCTCACGCTAAGCTGGGGAGCTTTTCCATCCTAGCTTTTGCATATTAGCCAGGCATGTCTCCTCTCCCCTGGTCTTGCTTTAACGCAAATCTCAGCACAACAGTGGGCTTCCTGATGCCCACTTTCTGCTCCCACACTCGGAACTCATGATTTCACTAATTTGGTTTTCCAACGACAATGTACTAAACTTGTTGACTAACTCCTCATGGGTGTGATCCCAAAGACAATATTAAATCAATAATTACAACATATACAACAACTTATATATCATATAGGACAACATCTTGAAAAAGAAGGTAAAACTGTGATCGTGGAACAAGAACTATGGAAACATCTCAAAATACTTACACGTGATACAAACTATACTGAAAAATAAAATCTTTGAAGCTGTGAAGCTTCTGCCTCATTTTTAGCAGCCATAAATTCCAGTATTGACACTTGTTTTGTGACCATTTCCATTGGAACAGTCTTGTGATGAGACATTGAATGTTTTAATGGCTGACATTATCGAGGCCCTGGGTTGGTTGTCTCATTAGTGTTTTACCCACTACAAACTTACTTTGAGAGAGTCGAGATAAAAAGAGCCGCCATTGCTTATGTACTACAAGAGGAAGGTACTGTGGTTATTTCTATTTTATAGACAAGGAAACTAAGTATTGAAAACTAAGTTTCCATTATTTACTACACAATTAGTATATAATGGATTTAGGATTTCAACCCAGGACACTTGAACTCCAGGGCTTAGTGAGCACAGGATGTAAAAGAGACAAAAGAATAGAAAATTAAATCAGAACATTAGATTGGCACTGTAGTGTGAAACACACATCTGTTATCAGTTTTCTGTAGGGCGGGGTCTGGCTGGGGTCAATGCAGATGCCTTCCCTTATATGGTTTTCTCAATTTGCTTCCATCTTCCCATTAGGTATCATTTGAATACAATGTTCTTCACCTATAATATTAAAATGAATGACTAGAAATACTAGTAGTATTACTAGTAATATGGTAAAATGAATTACACATTGATATATAATAGCTTAGTAATAGCTTAGATTTTTATTTAATAAGCACTTTTCAAAGTTTGCCAAATATAATAGTGTATACCAAATATAACCCTTGGAATCATGGGAGAAAAGGGGAAAGGCTGTGGTCCCAACAACCAGCAACCATTTCTCCTTGCCTCAGCCTGACCTGGTGCTCTTCCCAATGACCACAGTTGCCTATCAGTGTCTTTGAACACTTTTAAAATCATCTGAAAAAAAGGTATCGCCAGTGTGGTGTTGATCAGGATGCAGACCACCCATCACATATTGTAGGTTTCCTGTTGCTGTTTTTTTTTTCCCATGCCAATTTATTTATTTTATTTTGGGTTCATTTGGATAGATCAGTTACAGTTTTGGGTCTCATTAAGATTCCAAAGCTCTCACACGCCTCATCTCCAGATGTTATCAATAGACAAGACTTTTAAAAGGTAATAGAACCTCCTTTTCCAACTGAGTTATGGAAGCAAAATAGAAAATAGCTTTGTTAAAATTAGGCATGTCTTTCTTTCCCAGATGGGGGTGTGTTTAATTCTCACTTTATCCTTCTTAGAGTTATTTGCATCCTAACAGGCATCCTAACAGTTTGTGGTTTAATATAAAAATAATTATATTAACACCTTCCATCTTTAAGTGCTATATAAAGTGATGCATTTTCTGATACTATGAGTCTTAGTAGTAAGAGTGAACATTTTGACCATTTGTAAGAGAGAAGAAACACTGGCTAAGGAGGTCAATAACCCTTCTTTTTCTTTAAACAATATATTAACTCCATTATTTTCCTTATATAGAGATTATCTTCCCCCCATTTTACAAAACCTGGCTTTATAGGGTTTCTCAAATAAGTTGAAGACTGTCATTTTCTTACAAAACATTGTCTCTGAAATTCCCCAAAACAAATTTTCTCTTTGATGCTTCCTTTGCCTAACCCACCATGAAAACAACAAAGTAGCTAGTTACAGGGCAACCCTAAAAAAAGAAGGGGTAAGCTGGGTGTGAGTCCTCACCCTTGTGCTTAAGAACTCTGGATAAGGCTCAAGGGCAGGCACACAGGGAAACATTTAAAAAAAAAAAAGTTTATTTACAAGGGAAATAACAAAAGGGAGAACACGGAAAGAACGAGCAATTGGTCA